GGGGGGGGGAACAACCACCGAACATTATCGCGACATACCCACATGCATGTGTATGCACATGCAAACAATCCACACACACACATACATACACACACGCGCGCGCAAACAAACAAACAAACAAACCATACAAGTACAACATAGGTTTTTTCAGCACGACGGCAGCGCCATTGGGGAAAGTGGAAATGGAGTTTAGACAAGTGATGAGAGAGCAGGCCGGGCTGCGAGGATGGAACAACATTATGTACAGGTTAGGTGTCACTGCCGCAGGTGATGGGGTTAACAAAAGTACGGCAGTACGGCCGGGGGGAAAATACGACAGGTCAGACAGTTTGAATCAACATGGGCCCAGCTCTCCCCTCCCCGCTTCGCCGGTGAGCTGAGGTACTGGGGATATGGTACGCATTAGGTATTGCCGTACTGCCGTACCCACCAAGCTGTCCAACCGTGCGACCAATCGCAGGTGCTCTTCCTGACTTTGTTGTTCTTGTTGGTTTTTTCCGTTGGGGAGTCCCAACTGTCGATGGCGGAGCGCCGCCGCCAGAGCCGCCGCCAGCGCCATGGAGCCGCCACCTGAGGCCGTCGAACGGCGCTGCGCCGCTTCCGTACCCTCCGCCGTCACCGCCGCCGCCGGCGCCTCTTCCGCCACCTCCGCCACCTCCTCCTCCCCGGCCCAGGGAGACCCTGGACGCGGCAACGGAGGCGGCGGCGGCGGCGCAGTGGTACTTACACGAGTACGAGCATCTGCGGGCCGAAACTCGGCGCGAGCTACGGCCCCTGCACCGCCGCCGCCGCCACCGCTGGCTGCCGCCGCCATGGCTCTCGACGGCGGCAGCGGCAGCGGCAGTGGCGGCGGCGGTAACGGTAGCTCGGCGCAAATGGCCGACAGCAGCAAGTCACCTGCGGCAATCCGCTTCGCCGACGCCCGCCATCGCTCCTCCTCCTCTTCCTCGTCCCCGTCCCCGTCCTGCTGGCGGCTCGCCGTCCTGCGCTTCGTGCCTATCCTCAGCGGCAGGACCCCTTCCTCACCAGGGCCGCTTTCGCCGCCACCGCTTTCGCCGCCACCGCCGCGCCTGAGCCCCTCCGTCGCGCCGCGCTGACGGCCGCGGCCGCGACTGCCGCGGCCTCGGCCGCGTACGGCGACGGCGGGATCTCCGGGGGGTGCCTTGACGTCGCCGCCACCCGCCATTGCCGCAGACGGCAGACGGCAAGACGACGCATGTTGTACGACATCTTGACGGAGGGGAAATGTCGGCGACATCGCCGGCCATGGCCGAGCCGTCAGCTTTAGCTCCAGGGACGCGTCATCCGCGCCGCCAGGGCCCCATCCGCCGACGGCGGCGGCGTCATCCTTGAGCCTGACGAGCTGTTGCAGCTCCTGAGGTTGCGCACCGTCCCACGCCGCGGCTCCGTCATCCAAGTCTTCCTCATTGCTGTGCGTGAGGCTCAGTACGACAGCGAACCGTGTCGCAGGTCGGCCGGATCTGGATTCCGGTACATGCTCGCCCGCAGCAGCGGCGGCGGCGGCGGCGGCGGCGCCAACGTCAGCGGCGGCTTCATCCACCTCCCCCTCCCACTTTGCAAGCTGCAGTCCCAGCAAGCTGCCGGGCTTTGCCCCCGCCGCCAACAGCCAAGGGACGGTCTTCCGGAGCCGCCATTTACTGGAACTGCCGTACCATCGCATATCCCCATCGGTTGGTACCAGTACCACGCCTCCGCCGCCGTCGGCGCCGTCAGGCGCCGCCTCCGCCATCCACACGGGGAAGCTCTCCGGTACGTTCAGTCCCGGCTCGGGATCCTCCAGCGCCGCCGCCGCCGGGCGCGGGGCCCCTGACGGCGCCGTACCCTCCCCTTGCGGCTCCTGAAGAAGAGACGGCGGCTCCAGGAAGGGCCTCATGAGCCTGGCGGCCACTTGGCGGGGAATGTACGCCGCCAGGCTGACATTCGCAAGATGGCTTTTGGAAAGTGGAAATTCATGGACGGGGCCAAAAGGGGTTGGGGAAGGCGCCGCCGCCACGGCCGTGCCTGTGGAAGCAGCCGCCGCCGCCGCCGCCGCTGCTCCGAATCCCAAGGATACCCAGCGTCGCTGCTTCCGCTGTTTCTGTCGTACATGGTCATCGTCGTCGCCGTCATCGTCATGAAGGTCGTCATCGCAGGGCATGACTTCGGCCGCGGCGGCGGCGGCGGCGGTGGTGGTGGTGGCGGCCCCACGGGACCGTTTCCGCGCACTGCCGACGCCATTGACCGCCGACGCTGACGCCGACGCGCGCATCTTGTCAGATGCACCAGGGCGTTGGTACGACAGCTCCACACGAAGTACGACGCCCTTGCTGCTTTCGGCGGCCTCCACGCCTCCCGGCGCCGCCGTCAGCAGCAAACTATCTCCTGGCGTGACGCCTCTGTACTGCAGCCATGAACCCAGGCCGTACAGCTTCCAGGTCAAGACCTCAGGTGCCGCTCCGAAACCGCAAAGAACCGCGTCACTGATTCGGAAGATTCGGCGCCAGAAATGTACGTGGACTGGTATCGTGACCTGCGGCTGCTGCTGCTGTTGATGATGATGATGATGTTGATGTTGATTTGAAAGCGACGACAGAGCAGATGACAGAGGAGCCGAAAACGCCGTCATCAGTCCGCCGTCGCCGCCGCCACTGGCGGCATTACAACCCAGCGCCGCCACCACGGCCGGTGCTGGTACGGCAATTTCGTCACTCCGAAACATTGCCGACGTCAGCAGTACGGCGGGAATGTTGGGCTGCCGCTGAGCCATGGCGGCCGCCGCTGCTGCTGCTGCTGTTGCTGCCGGCAGCGGCGGCGGCGCCGTCACGGTCGCCGCCGCCGCCGCCGCCAAGCCGACCTCATCCGCGGGGGCCAGGACCACCAAACCCTCAGGCTGCTGAACCCATAACAGCAGTTTACAATTGCCGATAAAGCAGCCCATGTCACGCAAAAACGAGGTCACGCTGTTCAAGCAGTAATTTCCTGAGGTGCTGGCGGCGAGGTAGCAGTCGTACCGACGGAAGCTGCCGTCCGGCAGGCGCGCCGCTACCCGTACGGGCTGCCGCCTGCCCTCCGCCACCGCCGCGTCCATTTGGTACGGGAAGATCTCCCGGCACACACGTACGCCAAGTTTGATATCCGTCGCCTGTGTACCGACGCGAACCACGTGGCAGGGAGCGCCTGCGGGGGGAATGGCGGCAGCAGCTGCTGCTGCTGGTGCTGCCAAAGCAAGAGTCGCTAAAGAAGGTGCCAGCGGCACGGCTCCGACAGGAATGTGACGGCAGCGCGGCTCCGGGGACATGGCGGCGGCGGCGGCGGCGCGAGGCTTTCGGGCCATATGCCGTATCGCTGCGAACAAATCCAGCCATGCCGCGGCGCCTCTGGCGGCGGCGGGTCGCGCGCCTGCCGCCGCTGCCGCGGCGAGAATTCGCCGCCGCCGCTGGGCCGCCGCCGCCGCCGCCGCCGCCGCGGCGGCCTCTGCTGCCGCCGCCGCGGCGTCTATGACGTAGGGGGCGCGAGGGGCGTGGGAAGTGCGGAAAGCGGTTCCTTGTTGGGATCGAGAAACTGGTGGTGGTGGCGGTGGTGGTGGCGGTGGTGGTGGCGGTGGTGGTGTTGGCACCGCCGCCGCCGCCGCCGCTGCCGCCACCGCTGTCTTCGCAGGAAGTGCAGGGGGTCGACGGGGCCCCTGCTCCAACCGCCGTCGTACAAGCTCCGCTGCCTCCTGCACCTGTCCGTAGCAGCAGCACATCAGTGCGCAGTCAGGGAAGAGCACATCAGGGAAGAGGCTTTCGGAAGGATCCAGAACTTGGAAACCCTTAGAAGATTTCGCGCAAGAATGGCGAGACGGACAGTGGTTTCGGAGGGGCAACGCAGGAGGCACAGCAGCAGCACTGTGAACACCAACCCGCCTTTCAGCTGCCCCACCCCCCAACACCCCAACCCGCAACTCCGACATAACTTAGAACCCGCTTATTCCACTACACACACATATGTATACACACACCCACTCACTCTTTCACACAAAGGGCACAGTTCGAGAAGGTTACCCCATCTTTTATGCAACGATCCGCAGTACGCAGTACGCATTCCACAGTACGGCATATTTACCGCAGACCCAGGCTACCCGGCCATGCACTCCTTGATGTTCCTAACCGTACAAAGAAATCATTAGCCCCCAACCCAAATGCCCAACGGCCCCAAACCGCGGCCCCAAACCCCCGCCGCTGCTGCTGCTGCTGCTGCCCACACTTCAATTTACTGCCCACTACAATTCCTTGCTGCCCACAAACTCAATCCGTCCCCTCGGCCCCCTCCCCCTCTTGCTGTCAGTGCTGCATGTTAGTTATGCCTGGACTTCCCGCCGCCCCCTCCCGGCTCCTCCCCCTGCCCCTCTTCCCTCCCCCCCCCCCGTCTCACTCGCTGATGCGCCAGGGCCAGGGCCAGGGCCGCGGCCGGGGTGTGAACCTGTGGGGCAGTCGCCGCCGCATTGGGCGTTTGGTCGTTAGCGAACATTTAGTTAGTTAGTTAGTTGATGGGGCTCAGGACCGCAACAACAAAAACAACACATTCACCACCATTATCATCATCAATGCCATCTTCATCATTATCATCACCATTATTATCATCAATGCCATTTTCATCATTATCATCACCATTATCATCACAATCATCCAGAAATTGTTGGGGCGCCCCACCTCGCCTCCCGCGCTACCGCCGCGATCAGCACCCACACCCAAGCCACCAGGCCACTGCTGGTCCCTCTGCTCTGCCACCAGCGCTTCCGCCTCAAACGCCGCCGTTGACCCATGGGTCACAGCCGCCACCGCGGCCGTCGCCGCTGCTCCGTCGGTCGCCACTGACCCGCCCGCCGCCGTCACTGACCGATGGATCATGCGCGACAAAGAGTTCGCGTCCAGCATGGCAATCCAGACATCATCTCGCGGGGCTTGCTCCTGGCTGCATGTGACGACCCGCCGGGCCACGTGGCCATCCGCGGTGGTGACGGGGCGGAAGCCCAAGCTATTCCAGAAGGCCTTGGCGCCCTCACCTCGACCAATGACCACCGTCGCGTACTGCATATCGGATATCGAGACGGAACCGATGCACCCATGTTACCCATTACACGACGTCCAGGAGCCGCGCGGCGTGCAATGTGCGAGTGGAAAAGGAAATAACAAATATAGACCCAAACGCGATTCGAACCCGGACGGGAAAGCAGCAGAGGTCCGGGGGAGCAGATTGCGTGTGAACATGTGCGGAACGGAAGTTGAAACTGGCAACTGACGAATGCAACCCAACCCGTCTTTCCATGTCTTCCCCCCTTTCTCTCCTCCCCCCCCCCCC